GCTGTTCAAAGTTGCAGCGTCACAGATGACGGGTCGAGAAAAGGCCGACACTTCACTGAAGAGATTAAAACAAGGCATTGTGGGTAAAAAAAAAAATAGACTCACCGATCGCCACAGAGGACTAGAGACAGCAGGGGAAAGGAAACGTGGACTGTAGAATTTGGACCCGTGTCATGTGACCTCAGTGTTTGAATTAAGACTGAGTGCTGCACAGTCAGCACATTTCCGACCGAGGCAGTTAAGACGACGAAGGCGAGACCGTAGACAACAACAGTGAACTGTTGCCGCAGTCACTGTAAAGGTCAAAGGTCCAAGTTCTACGATGGACGGTGTCAGAGTTTACGAAGAAAAGGCACCGGATTTGGAATACTGAACCCAGGAACGGGTCGACAACACGGGTGTGAAGTGATGACAGTCGTGGTCGTTCAGTGACGTCAACACTGGTCATCAACACCTGGAGATTAAGGCTTCAGACGAGGAGGAAGAGGAAGTTGAACCTATGACCTGCTGGACTTTAGGTCATTATGTTGAACTTTGTGTTGTTGCACCAGTAACAACAACATCAACAACAACAGTCGTCTCGTCCCGTCCCGCTGACGTCAGCTGTCACTAGTGTTTTGGAAGCACTGACTCTACCGGACATTACCGCGTCCACCATGTGACGTTCAGAGGCTTAATAGGCAAAAACCACAGTTCAAAACCATCAGCTGCAGATGGCGCTAACCTTCACGCCTGCTCTCCACTCACTCCTGAAAACACCTGCACAAACAGAATCTTCCGCTTCAGACCAACCAACAGTTTTGCCTCCTGTGTGACAGTTTCTTCCTCTCAACGCAAACCACTCAAGTACTTTTTGGCCACAAGGAACAAACTTTTCACCTTAAGTCAAATCATTGAAGGCTTTCAACTGGAGATACGGATCAGTGAAGAACTAGGACCTGACCAGCCGAGACAGGAGAACAGAAACTCACTCACAGATGAACTCCTGGCAGCAGCATCGTTAACACGTAACCTGGAGTCCAGAACTCCGGCTGCAGGGGAACGAGACGCCGCAGAGTCACGGAGCTGAGAAGCTGCGACTGCATGTTAAAGACACACACACTGATCAGTCTGAGTGTGTGTGAGAGAGACGGGAGCATCGACGACAACAACAACAACAACAACAAAGTTTGCTCAGCGCTGACAGAAGCCTCTTCTCCTGCGACCTCCTGATGCATCTGTGAGGCTGAGAGACCACAGGCTGCCGTCTGTCCTCGAGCGACGATGAGACAGAGCGCTCTGAGCAAAGACAAAGACCCCTCTGCTGGGGTTTCACCCCCCTCCCCCCCCCCCCCAACAAACACACACACTGCCAACAGAGGCTGCTTCATCCTGACTCAGGCAGAAGGACAGAGGGAGAATCATATTGTCCAACAAGACAGGAACAAACGGACATCTGTTCATCAACTTCCTGTTCCACAGCTTAGACAACACACATCCACACGTGTGTGTGTGTGGTTTGGGCAAGAACATCGTGAAGGCAGTAACTGTCCTGACGGTGTGAGGAGTTCACAGAGACTACGAGCGTAAAGGAAGATGTGTGTGTGTGACGCGGACGTCTACACTGCACACGTCGGGGCGACACACCTTCAGAAAGACAGTCTGACGCAGCTGTTCGACAACAACACCGTGAGCAGACGGACGAGGAGTGGTTTTTAAAACGTGCCCTGAGGAAAAAAAAAACAAAACTGTGATGTGTCAAAGATGTGTCGCACTGCAACCTGCACGTGTTAGTGTAACAGTGTCGTCCGAGTGGTTTGTGTGTGTGTGTGTGTGTGCGCTCCTGACCCACATCAACTGTAACAGTTCATCAACACACACAGTGTAAACCCCACTAAAATATAAGTTAAAGGAAATGCATAGATACATACAGTATAATTATAGACAAGAAAAAAAAAAAGATTAATAAACTAGAATTAAACGAAGAACAGAAATTCCTATCTGTGTGTGTCGGTGTGTGCGTGCAGCTTCTCTGCTCTTTCCTGATCCACCGCTCTCAGGGTGAAGTACCCACCCTGACCTGATGATGTCATCATCATGCACCAATGAGAACAAAAAGAAGTGCCGAGAGGAAGGCGACACCTAGCTCTCGTAGCTAAGCTGCTGACATCATCAGCACCAGTAGTTAGCTGCAGCAAGCCACGCCCCTTTATGCCCCCCACCCCCACCTGCCTCCTCTCTCTTTACTCCTTCCTATGAGTGAGTGGTCAAAGAAATAAACACGGACGTCGTGAGGAAGAGAATGAGGGAGACAGTCCTACAGAGAGGAGCGTGACCCCAGGGTCAGAGGTCGTTTACAGTGATTCGAAGAGTGGTATGGAGGAAAGTGACAGCGCTGAGGCAGAAGCAGCCGTCATCAGTCAGTGAAGCAGCTCAGTAGGACAGAGAGCAAGCATGGGGAGTGGAGGGGGGGGCAGTAGATGGGGCAGGGAGTAGTAGTGGTGGCATTAATACAGTCAAAGTTCAATAGCAAACACTGCCTGCTCCACTGACGGGCCGGTGCAGTGGGAGGCGAGGGGGGGAGGGGGGGATAGTGGCACTAAGACAAAGACACCCCCCGCCCCCCCACCTCACACATCTGCCTCTCCCCCTCCTTCGCCTCCTTCTGGTCAGTCCTCCTCACTGCAGCATCAGCTGCTTTAGGTTGTCGTGCAGGATGGTGTCCTTGACGTCACGGAACACCAGGCGGATGTTCTCGGTGTTGATGGCGGTGGTGAAGTGGTGGTAGAGGGGCTTCTGCTGCTGCTCGCGCCGCTTTTTGCGAAAGCATTCCACTAGAAAGCGCTGCACGTCAGCTAGACTGGTGGGGTCGCCCGAGAACTCGGAGAAGTAGTCTTTAATGGAGACCTGCTTCACCTTCTCCTCCAGCAGGTCCGTCTTGTTGAGGAAGAGGATGATGGAGACGTTGCTGAAAACCCGGTTGTTGACGATGGTCTCGAAAATGTTGAGGGACTCACTGAGCCGGTTAGTCTGCCGGTCCTCCATCAGCACCTGCAGGGATGAGAAGACAGACGTTAGGTGTGTCAGACCGGAATCATGACGGCGCCACAACCTACTTCCTGTTTCCTGTTTCTTCTCCTAAAAGACCCAGATGTCAGATTTTTATTAAAGTCCATTGTATTAAATGAACAAACATACAGAGACAACTTTCTTAAAGATATACTTTTTTAAAAATCAAATGCTATTGGGGTTTTTTTTCCTCACATTAACAAAAATAAATATCAGAAAACAACGACTTTTCATCTATGAATCAGTCTTTGCCTCCCGGTCTCACCCGCCTCACTCACCTGGTCGTATTCTGAGGACGAGACGAGGAAGAGGATGGAGGTGACCGAGTCGAAGCACTCGAACCAGCGCCGCCTCTCAGAGCGCTGGCCGCCCACGTCCACCATCTTGAAAGGTACGTTTTTGATCTCAAAGTCGTACTCGTGGATGCCCTTGGTGGGTTTCCTGGCCAGGAGGATGTCCTGCTGACTGGGGAGGTAATCCTGTTGACACACACACACACAGACACACACACACACACACACACCTGTCATCAAAGAGCTGTACTTGACATCACTGTCAAATCAGTACTACAGAAGTAAATAAAAAAATATAAGTCACTTAAATACAGTGTGGATTCTATTATTATTATGAAACCCTGATTTATGATTTTGTGTGTGTGTGTGTGTGTGTGGTTGCATGTTGTTGTACTCAAACATGAACAGTCTGTGCTGATGATGAGTCATCAGCTCTGGCATGCTAGGAATGTTAGTTGTTTTGCATTAACACACACACACACACAAATACCGCGACGCCCCCTCACGTCTCCCCGTGACTTTGTTACTACACTCGTTCATCCATGATAATCAGGAATAGAGCAGCGAGGAGCGAAGGAGCAAGAAGAGGAGAACATTATAACCAGGTCTAACTAGCAGAGAAGGAGCAAGAAGAGGAGGAGGAGGAAGGAGAAGAAGAGAACATTATAACCAGGTCTAACTAGCTATAATGACTTTCACTTCTCATAGTTCTAACAAATGACATTAATTTGAACCTGCAGCTGCGGCCGCAGCGGTTGTCCGCAGCTGCAGGACCAGGGCGTCCACACTTAGATAAAGTGGTGGACGGATATCGGTTTTCACATCAGCTGCTGCAGATATCAGCTCAGCCCTTTTTATAGGTGTTAAAAAAAATCTTATTTACGGCTCGGCCCATGCTGGAAGCCAGGACGGAATTATCCAGACGCAGAGGAGATTAACAGCCCACACACACACACACACACACACACACACACACAGGCAGACCAGCCCTGGACTACAGTGAACACTGATCGACTTCTGTCTGATCCCACTGCAGACAAAAGCCCAGTGTTGGCAGGTGACGGTGGTTCAAAGCAGCTCCAACAACAAACACTTCCTGTCTCTTCCTCCTCCTCCTCCTCCTCATCATCATCATCATCCTCTTCTTCCTTTATAGCCTACATTAACATTTGTTTTTTTATCATAACATGCGCAACAGGAAACGAGTTATTAGAAACCTGATGGTGAGGCTGTGGATCAGTGGTTAAAGGAGCACGTCTGTTACAGGAGGACTGCTGGTTCAAATCCCACTAAGGTTCAGTAAAGTGTAGTTCGTGGTTAACAGTTTCACTCCGAACAGTGAGTGTGTGTGTGTGTGTGTGCGCAACAGGAAGGCAGCAGTTTCACTTCTCTTTTCAACAGACCAACCAACTGCTATCACATCCATCTGCAGTATCTGGCATCCTGCCCTCTGTCTGTGAGTGGTGGGGCTGCGGCAGTGAGGGCAGCACTTACCGACTGCGCCAGTCTTTCCAAATTATCCAGGAAATACTTGACCGACTCCCCCTGAGAAAAAAAAAAGAGAGAGAGAGAGAGTGGATGTGAGATTGAATGTAAACAATATTTTGTAATAAGAAAAGTCACCAGGAGAACATTATTTTTTGTGATTTAATCTTAACAGATGAGGATATTATTGGGTTGTTTTTTTTTCTACAATACTCTTGATATTTAAAATGATAGACAGGATATTATTGGGTTGGTTTTTTTTTCTACAATACTCTTGATATTTTTTTAGTTTCTATCTTCTTTTGGTTTTGTGTAACATACTGTGGTTGCTCTATTTTTCAACATGATATTTCTGACGTGTGGACACTGCAGACCTCAGAATATAATCCTAAATTTAACTTGTCCTTTTCAAACTCATTTACTAGTCCACTGAGTTTAGCCTGTTAATTATTCTATAATGTCAGTAAATAAAACTTCTCATCAGTGAATGCCTCTCTGCTCACCATCATCATCATCATCATCATCATCTACTTCAAATGATGGACACGTTTTAAACAGATGTTAAAGATTTGGTTTCTGATAACAACGCAGTCCCGTTGTTTGACGCCAGGAAACGATCAATAAAAAAAAAGAATATTAATTATTGATGAAAATAAACTCAATTAAATCTGACTGTCAGTGCTGCCTTTTAACGTCGGTAAGTATTCTGATTCTAGTTCAATAAAAAAAAAAAAATCAATAAATTGTGCAAATGAAATAAAGGATTTCGCTCTAACGACCGTCTCTACTTTGACCCGAGTGTTTTTGTTGTTTGTCAAAGTCAACCTTAACTGTGTGTCAAGGATATTCCACCTAGGTTTCACGGGTGAAAGGTCAAACAGTGAAGTCAAGACAATGACATTTAGCTCCTGAAATGAACGGTGCTTTTAGGAATTCTCCTGCTTCAGAAAAGAAGAAAAGAGAGAAAAAAACAGGAAGGCGTTGTTTCTTCTTTTTATACCAAAGCAGGAAATGGTCAGTCAGGAACTCCATATAATTTGCATCTTCATGCCCTCAGGGAAACTGAAGTCCGGCTTGGTTCTAAATATGCCACGCTCAAATGTTGCTACAGAAGAGCAAACGTTTGCTGAAGTCACATCTTGTTGGAGCAGCATGAATCTTTCAAGGCATCAAGGATGAACAGTGGAAATAAAAACTGTGTAAGAAAAGAGTTCCTGCTCCTCCGTTCTGGAACTGAAAACTGGGATTTGAACTGGGAGCTGCTCTGACGTGACATGTGAATTCTGACTGGCTGGTAGCATCATAAGCAACGTGCGTCAGCGAGAGCCAGAGCGGCAACGTGATTCAAAAATTCCCGTTGAAGACAGAGTGACAGCAGAGATCCATGCGCCTCACTTTTAACCTCTTTACAATTACTCATACTGCTGGGAGAGAATCAGAGGAGAAATATTTTCCAGATTAACCTGAGCCCCCCCCCCCTCCCTTATTTTCCATTTGTTTTTATGACTCGAAAATATGTTATTAAGCTTCCAGGTTTTCCAGAGTAGGTGAAGACGCCGTTCAGTCAGGAGTTACTTCTAAAACTAGCCCAGAACTGACAAGTTCTACAGACCTGTTTGCAGGTGGCAGCCAGCAGGGATGTAACTCCATCCATTTCTTATATAGTGTCTACAGGGAGTTTCTTATATGATGAACTCTTCTACGATCATTCAAAAGTAATTCTGATTAAAAGGAGGAGGGAATAAATAGGAGCGGAGTGATTTATTTATGGAGATGCTGCCGATAAAAGCATTAGAGAGAAAGTTATCTGCAGTCAAATACTGTAAGTGCTCCATCAATGGCTCCTCAGAGTCTTTGGCCAGAGTGGAGCGAAGTCTCTGCAGGACAGAAACACATCATTTCCCTGTCAGCAGGACACAGACTGCGGCTTACACTTGTGGGAAGTCATGAGGCAGAGGAGGAGGAAGGAAGGGCGTGGGGGAGGCAATGAGAGAGATAGAGAGGGGAGAACGAGAAAGAGAAGCAGCCTTTCATTAGTCGGTGTGAGTCGGTGTGAGCGTGAGCTCAGCAGCTGCACGTCTGCACATCAACTGTGAGGAAAAGACTTCATTCTGTGCTGCAAATATTTATGCAAAAGGGCTTCACAACAGGATTTCAAAAGACTTTTTTTTTTTAATTTTTATGTACTTTAATGAATCGAAACACACCCAAATAATAAAGTCTGCCACCGCATATCAATTAAAGGGGAGGTTTCACATTATTATGCACGATGATGAAAGGTTTCCTGAAGTTTGAAATGACTCTAGATTCATCTATCGATCTATCTAGACCTACGTCATCACATGTCTGAACCATGAGATCTCATTGGTCTGGTTTTTGCACTGATAATCAAATAAACTACTACGCTGTTTTGCATCCAACTGCCATGTCTCACAGCAGAGACACTTAAACGTAAAACTCTTAACTCACCAGTTGGAACTCCCTGCGACGGTCGTACGCATTCTGGATGCCCTGGTCTGCCCACAGGGAGCGGATGGATGGCACATAGTGGTGGAAAACTTTGGGCTCGACCATGCCGTGACCTTGGGTCATCGCCGACCGGGTGTCGAAGGCCATCATGGTGTTGCCGTGTCTTTGGTTGGACTGGTCGCCCCAGGGGATGTGTAGTTTTTCCCGAGCATCCACTAACACTCGAATACCTGAGGAGAGCAAGAAAACAAAGATGAGGATCGCTGTCAAGGCTGCTCAACTGAAGTACGCATTCAGCGCCCCCTGCAGCATCACAGACTTGTGACATTAGAATGAAACAGCAGGACTAAAAACACAGACCAACACCTCGTCGGATTTCAGTTATACTTATTATATGTTATCAAATAAACACAAAGGGTTAAACACTAAACATACTGTACTTCCAAACTAATGAAACGTCAAACCGGCTCATTATGGGATTTTTACCATCTGTCTGAGTCAACAGGTTTCCCTCGTGTAGTCACGTCAGCCACTCTGTCATCTGACCAATCAGGAGCCTTTAAATGCTACCTTAAGGAAAATGAACTACAGTCACATCAAGTCTGCTTCGTGATGCACCTGTGACCACAGGGAAAACAGCCACAGTAGTGACACGGTTGCCATGGAAACATGTTTTCCCCCTGTTAAACTCAGAAGAAAATTCAAGTGTTCATTTCCTCGTATTTGAATTTCCTCAGAAAAACAAAATCCACCATACGGCTTTGGTCATTTGACGCTAACTCTTCACTTCGGATCATTAACCTGATCAGAAAGTGAGCCAAAAACTGAAGCAGATGCCAAACCAGAATTTTAGCAACACTGAGAACAACAGTGGACAAAGTCTGAGCCCATTAAAATCATTTATGGTATAAGAAAGAGAAGGTTTTTTAGCTTTCATTTATATTTGTATATTATTTTAATTGTCATTATTAGAATTACTTTTACCAAATAAAACGTTGAAAACAACTTTAGATTATTAATAATATAATAATTTATAATCAACTTATAAATAAGTGGTTTTAAAAAATAATGACGACAACAATTAATATGTTTTAAAAATGTTTATTTTAAATAAGAATAAATATACACAAGAAAGTTTTCCCTCTACCTTTACACCAGAGGAAATAAATGTTGATTGGTCAAAACATCAACCTCTGTCAGGGCTCGGATTTGAACCAGCTCTGTTCAAATCCCATTTTTTTTAACTCCAAATATTATTAGAATATCCTCCTAATCATCCTTACTGGTATCTTTAGAATAAGAATTTAGAAAAAATAATCACGTTTGAAATAGAAACCCACTTTATTTGCACGAATAGTAGCATTTACCTAAAGACTGAACCTCATGTTTAGCCTCGGGCTCTGAACCAGAGCAGCTGATTTAAGGTGAAGAGAAAAACAATAGGTTTTCTCTGAAGTCACTAACACAGACTGCAGCTCAGAAAAGGAAAACGTCTGAAGCAGACACTGCTGTGAACAGGGTGGAGATACAGACTTGTGATAAGTCACTGTTTTGATGTTGGGTCATTGCTTCACTCTACAGCTGTGTGCTGTGCTCTTTGCCCGACTCCCCCCACACTGACCCCACAGACAAAGACCATCAACAACCACACCAGAAACACCGGCACATCTGTGTGAACTTGTCTCACAGGTACAAACTTTGTCATCGTTCAAGGTCAGAGGTCAGGAACACAACCCCACTTTTTCACTCACTAACTATATTTTACTGTTAAAGCAACACAAGTCAGTATGGATCCAGACCCAGATATGGATCCATACTTGATACGTCATAGTCATCAGACTAAAATGGTTTTCAGGCAACCTCTGGACAACGACAAAGAAATTGTATTCATTGTTATTTATTTAATATTTAATTTTATTATTTTTTATCATGTTTTATTATTCATTATTCAATTATATTTTTATTTAAATATTATGAAATTAATTTTTATTATTTTTTTATTACAAAGTATCTTAAACAAAGTGTGATTTGTAAGGATGTGGACCAACAGTACAGGTGTGTGTATTCTACCAGCAACAACCGATGGTTTCATCTACATAAAGACCGCAGTCACATCTTGGTGCTAACACAACATCCGCCTTTGTAACGTGTGTGTGTGTGTCAATCATCAGACAGCCAGTACACTACTGATGTGTCCTCACTCCATTAGCTACAACACCCTCACACGATCTCACCCCGTCGCCTGATGCAACTTTTATTCTGAAATTACCCTAACGCCTACGGTTTCCTTTTTGCCGAGAACCGTTAACTTCGCCTCTTAACAGCGCTGACTGAGCGAGCCTTTCTGGACCACTACATCGCACTTCCCCGTTCACAGTCACAGTCAGCCATTACATATGGTCACACAGACAATGGTGGAGACGAAGACGTCAGTCAAGGTCAACAGACACTCCATAACTATTACTGACACAGACATGGGGACATACTGTGACTCAGCAGCCAACGGTTTGTTGATGACACGTTGACTTTTTTTTCCCTCCACTATTAACAGCAGTGGCTCTTAAACATTTTCTGCAGTGCTGCCTTTTGTAGATAGGAGTCGGTGCATTTTCAGTTAATTTGATTTGAAGTGTCTCACAAACGATACTCCAGATGCAATTCTTTGTGGTTGTGGTGTTAAATTGAAAACAGGCAGCATTGCTGCCACAGCCCAGAAAACACCAACACATCAATTCCCATCCCATTTCCAGTCAACTCAAAGTTCAGTTAGAGTAACAGAATATGAACACAGACACAAGACTAGATAAAACCAGGAGTCAAGGGGACCAGGAGTAAAAATCTGATTAAGAATTAACTGAGAAACCGGAGGACCAGGAGTAAAATAATCAGACATCACAGACATCACATATTCACTACAGTCACCAATCTGAGGCCCGGAAAACGGAGCAATCTGATTAAGAATTAACTAAGAAACCTCTGTCTCCACTGTTTGCTGTGTTTAATCCATTGCTGACTTTTCTCCAGATAAATTATATGAACTGATCCTGTGCATCTTAAGTGCTGCTGCACAAACAGTGTTCACCCCTGGTGGACAAAAATCAAACTAAATTGAGTTATGGAAGTTTAAACGGAGAGCAGAGACAAATCATCTCTGCTCAGACCAGAGCAGACGAGCGCTGAAGATTAGATTAAAAAGATCGAATCGTTTTTCCAGGTGAAACAAAACCGTTTAATATTCAATAAGTTTTATTAAAAAAAAAACAGAGAGAGTAGAGACAGCACTAAAACACTCTGCACTAGTGTCGTCACTGACACCTTTCACTTCAGCACACAAGAAACAAGTTTCCTCACTGGAGTCTGACGCCATGTTTACACGAGCTGTAATAATCTGGTTACTGTAAACACACATTATCTGTACAGGATATTACGACATGTTAGTAAAAATTAAAACACACATGCAAACATATCTGGCGATATGATACATGGAAGGATAGAGGGGTGACTATTAGATATACTGCATTATACTGCAATACTATAGGCACAACGTTAACTTGAGGGTGGTTTTTTTAACAATTTAAAACTGTCATTATAGTAAACACACAGTGCTGTTAAATGCTTAACATCAGGTTATGAACACTGGAACGGCCGGATCTTCATTTGTAATCACTTGTGAAGAAATAAAAAAATAAAAAATAAACCAACGCCAGGAATATTTGACTGTTAACTGTTAATTTAAAAAAAAAAACGATTTAAGCATATCTGGCAAAACCCAGGCGTTGTGCTATCAGATTTATAACATCTGAACATTTCAACTGAAACTCTCACTTGATATTTCCGTTAAACACATAACACACATACACTTGTCTATCTCTGTCAAATAAAAGAAAAAAAGGACTTGGTGAGGTGTAAACGCCTCATCTGTCCACTGTGACGTTGAACTGAGAAGAGACAGAGCTGATGCTCGTCTTCGGGTGTTTCATTAAATTGTTCCTATCACGACAAAACAAATCCTTCTGTATTCGTCCTTGATTAAATAACACACATAAACAAATAGTAAATTCACTAAAGTTGGAAAAGAGGAAAATGCAAAGGATGGTTACACAGCGTTTTCAACAGAAGGGGAAGTGAAACTTCATCTTGTTCTACTATTTCTGGAGAGTTAGACCAGTCAGCACATCCGAATGGTTTATTCTCGTGTAAGCAGCGGTGGAAACGTTCCATTTAGCATTGTCACGTCAGCATTGATCACATTTGCTACGACCAGGGCTCAACAGTGGATCAACCTCTAGACATTAAATCACCCCAGTGACTGTGAGATAGGACTTTAAATAACCTGGATGGATGTTAGGTTTAACGGTTCTTATTTGTCTCCGTAGACATGCTCCATTTACGGTCTGCACCCAATCTGTGCACCCAACTTCCTACTCCGCCTGTGCACTGTGAAAGATCAACAACAACAACATCATCATGTTGACTACAATCAATCAAAAGTCACGCATTATAAACTAGGATGCTGTGATGCATGGAAACTGCATCAACAGCTGCTCTCACCGTCCCCTGCTTTAAACATGGTTTTTAACATGGTTGCCATAAAAATACTTCTTAAATCTGTAGGATGGGTTTATATTTTCAACGTTTATAAATTAGCATTGCATTCTGGGATGTAACAGGCTGCATAGCTGGCAGGTGGTTTAGACTTTTTCCAGTGCTAAAAATCAATCAAAGCACTTTACAATACAGCTGGTACCATCTATCTACCCACAGTGGGGCAGTTGGGGCAGCGACATGTAAACCAACAACTTTCAATTCAACAACCTTATGACTGTATGACAACTACAGCATCCACTGAGTCACAGACATCCAGAGAACCGTTTCATCTCAGGCTGACTTTTGATGTACAACCATGGCTAAAAGAATAGACAAACTGGACAAATCCGACTAAGTATGTTGACCAAGACATCAGGTTACACACACACACACACACACACCCCTCGGACCCTCTTGTCTATCTCATCAATGAAGCTCCAGGTCTGGAGACAACAAACCTTAGTGAAGAAGTTGCTAACTTTCACAGAACTACAGAAAAACAATAGAAACACGTTGATGGAAACCCTGCGCCCTGGCTTTCCTTTAGGTCAACATCGTTTTGTGTTTCATTGGTCAGCATGTCAGGTTTCTGCAGAGCTTCACAGCAGCTAGTAGCTAGCAACAGCTAGCCTTCTAAACATGCTTGTGTTTAGAAGGTGGGGAGTTTACAGTAAACAGACGTAATTCTGAGGCAGCGGCTCAGAAACCATGAGTAACACAAGGACCACAAACCATAGCGGTTGTACGTGTGTCTGCCGTGCGCACGACACAACCTAGTATAGTAAAGGGGGAAAACGTGATGTCTGTGGAGCTTAGAAATACAAATATTAATAAAAACCAACCACACGCTTGGCCGCCGCTCCCCGCTCTCACACAAACACAAACACCATGGGCGTTTCTGGAGCAGCTTTGTGCAGAAGAGAAAAGTGCTGCCGTCGCTACTGCTTGCACATTAGCTTAGCTTCCAACTTCCCACTCTGTACCACCCCGAAGTTAGCAGCCGACACGGAGGTTAACAAAAACAACACAACGAACACAGCGGCTGCTTACCTTTGATAACGTTACTAAATATCGTCCCTCTGAATTCTTCTTTGGCCTTTTGGTCGAAGTCCTTGCCGTGGATAATGCGCATCTGTTTGAGGAAAGTGGACTTGCCGCTCTCGCCAGCTCCGAGAAGTAGTATCTTGACCAGCCGCTTCACATACGTCTTATCTCGATTAATACACTTGTCTATCTCCTTAGACTTCCGCAGCTGCTCCGCCTCGCCACTCGTTAGCAGGCAGTTTGGAAAACATACAGATAAATAGGAGCGGGACGGCAGGAAATCCGCCATCTTTGAAACAACTTCATCGATACAGACAGCGACGACTGGAAAGAGAGAGAAGGAGAGACAGAGAGAGCGAGAGAGAGAGAGAGGGCGACAGAGCGCCTGCACGGTGCTCCCTTCACTGAGTGTGGGAATACTTAGCTTCAAGAAACATCTCTATACAACAAACTAATTTTTACCCCAGGTTGTAATTAGATGTGTATGTATGTATCTATATATCTAACTATTGTACAATAAATTAATCAATAAATGTCTCTACATTTTATGTTTCCTACATTTTTGTTGGAGTACTTTGACTGAACTTAGTAGTATTAAAAAGTATAATATAGTAGTATCAAAATGTAATATCGCTTTAAGTAAAATTATTCACCGCGATATTAGACTGAGGGTCATGCATTCTTTTGAATTTTAAAATGTTAAAAAAAACGTTCACCTTTCATGTCACACAGAATACATTAATTCATTGTTATGCGCTAAGAACGCATGGAGAAATGCTTTTTCCGAAAACACGTGAATCCATCAGCGATAGGACGACATCTTGGAGAGTGACAAACGGCAAATCCACTTGGACAAACTTCAGTTAAGCAACACTGCCTGAATTATAGTTAAGACAAATCGACACAGTGTGTGTGTTAGACTGAAGTTGGGGAGTGTTTTATTTATTTATATATTTTCATCAATAATTTTGGGGGGAAATTGTTTATTCAACTCACGATATGGACGGGTCACAAGTGATTTTTTTTTATTTTATGTAAAATGTAAGCTTTGAACTTGGTAGAGTAGCAAAAGACCAAAGGTAGACACAAAAAATAGGTTAGGGGTTCTCAAACTATGGTTTGTGTACCACTGATCCATCTAGTGGCACGTCGGAATCTGAAATATATATATATATATATATATATATATGTATATATATATATATATATATATATATACATATATATACATATATATATATATATATATAAAAAATTAAATAAATGATTGAGGCCTTTAAGCGCAGCTGTCTCAGCCCCTGACTGTGTCGTTGATTTAAGAGCCACTCAGAAAGCTTCTCTGTGTGATTACTAGACGATAAGCTGACTGCAGGATAAACCCACTGCGCTGGACTCCTCTGAATTACAGAGTTTCACACCAAGGTTCCTGCTCTCTTGGTTTCCAGTTCCTATAAGTTATTTTATTATTCATCTGCAAATATGACGATCAGAACAGCCCGTCCAGACCGGGTGGAACATTTCCGGCCACATATGCACTGCCTGAAAAAGGTGGGTGAAATATTTATTTGTCAGATTTTACCATTATTATCCTTTAACCTAGTGAGGAAATATCGATGTTCAAATTTATTAATTGAGGAACGCACAAATCATGATTTTTTTTTTAAAATATATGTTTTATTTTTGCACATCAGCTCCAAAAAATTTTTTATATTTTTATACCCAGTGTACAGTACCAGACTTTCTTCTCATTGGCTGTTTTTTTTCTTCCTCCCCGGTTTCATATAGAATCTAATTATGTGCATGTGAACATACGTACAAAGTTCACAGATGATTTAAAGAGCGCCAGGCTGCTGCAGACCGTCTCTTTATTTATCTGAAATCCTATTAGCTCCTCTGCTGCAGTAAAAGCTGAAATGTAGTCACAGCCCAGGGCAGAAAAACAGAGTAAACACAGTAAATGCTGCAACTGTGTCTAAGAAATGAAAGAAAGTGTCAGGGTTTTAATCTCAATGACGTGAGCGTCTTTAGTCTGAGGCTGTACTGGTCTACATGCCGATGTGTCCCTAATGCTAGTGTCTGTCTGTGTTAAACTGAGACACAGATGATTGCCCTGAGCAAATGTCCCTACATTTATCCAAACCAGGAATATTAGACCTCAGTGGTGGTGATAAAAATGACATGAAATATATTTTTCACTTGCAGCTGGAGGCCCTGGTGGTGGAGATGCAGGACCCAAAAACTGGAGTGAAGGGCTCAGAGCAGAAATTAAACGTCACGACCATCCCCCATGTCATCACTGGTGAGAATAATACACACCTAAACACACACCAGGAAAAAAGAAAGAACAAAACCAATCATAAATACAAATAAAAAAGGAAAAAGAAAGGAATCAAATGTAACTCCCTGTCTTCTCATTTTTTGTAAAATACATAAATCTTAATGAGAGTAGTACACACGTTAATGGTCAATAAACTCTCCTGTTACGTCTGAATTCTGATAAATACGTCAATGCTACGACAAGAAGTCAATATCTGTGTTGATTCCTGATAAAAACCAGTGTAACAAAAGAGGAAGTTTGTGGTACAGACGATGCTGAGTGAAAATGCTGCTCGTGTGGCATCTGCTGAATCACGTCACGTTGACGTCATCAGTGTTTTTTTTCTTCTGATTGTTCTGATCATTTATTGACTGTGGTAACACGGCAGAGTCAATGTGGTTTTATTTAAAGCACGGCATGAACCACCTTTGACACGCTGCCTTCACTGTCTAAGCTGCTAACACAGGCTAAAACAGGCCCAACACAATTGGATGAGCTTTGGTCCAGGACTTAGGAGGAGAGGTGACTCTGTAATCTGCTGCCAGTGAGGCCGGTGATGAACAGTGTACTGTATATGGGCCAGAGCTGCAGCGTGAGCTGAGTAATGGAAACTGTAGACAGGAGGAAAAAAAAAAATCAATGGCTGTTCTTTTCCACCGGGGGCTGCTGTGGAGTAATCATGTGACTGAGCGACACAGGGTTTTCATAGAACGAGAAAGGTTTTGGTACCACCGCTACATTTTTTTTTTTTGGTTTAAACAACGCAATTATTCTTAATCAGTATTTAATCAGTTACAGTTATTAAATGTAAATAAAGCTGCGACGTGTATGAGCTGCCCCAAAACTAAAGTTCGCTGTCTGTTAAAAAAAAAAAATCACTGTATGTAAAATCAAAATACTGGCCTCTTAAGTGAAGTACATTTGAATACAAACGTGATGATAAAGAGTCCAGTTTCTGTGACTTTCAACTCTCACCCAGGAAAGGACATCGTTGCGTGGATCACCAACAAGATGAAGACCACAGCGGAAGGTCAGAGTCTGAGAGTCAGTCAAAAATAAAATGTCCAGTTCAAACCTGTCGCCCCCTGCTGCTCAATGCTTCTCCAAAACCCCTGACTCTATGTCCCCCCCCGGCCCCCGTCTGTGTTCTTCCAGAGGCTAATGTCGTTGGCACCATGCTGGTGGCCTACGGCTACATTTACCCCCTGCAGAATCACAAGAAGTTGGTCATGTGCAACGACAGCAGCCTGTACCGCTTCCAGGTGACAGTCCTGCAGGACTTCACAACAGAAAAGCGTTGTTTTTGTATGAGGTTGCCATGGTGTGAGCATCAATAACACACAGCAGTGTCTTTTCAGACCCCGTACTTCTGGCCTTCACAGAAATGGGTGGCAGATGATTCCGACTACGGTGAGTTTAAAGTCACTCAGAGTCAAGATGAGACACAGAATGGAAACTTTAAAAAAGACAGTTAAAAAATGATCTAATCAGCACTTCAATATGATTGCAGCCATTTACCTGGCAAAAAGAAACATCCGGAAGAAAGGCTTGTTAGAGCCATATGAACAGGTCAGTGATCAAACCTGGAAAAGTTTCATCATCATCTCCTGTTTCTTCATCACTTTTCTTTTTTATTTGTACTAAATATTGGTTCATATTTTTTATTATTGTTGCAAGCGTAATCATTATTATTATTATTATTATTATATCAAACCTGTTGCAAGCGTAATCATTATCATCATCATTATTATTAGTGGTAGTGTTTTTTATGAATAAGAAATCCTTATGTAAAAGGAAGCCGTAAATCTTGTTTTCTTCTGCCACACCTCCATAGTCATTTAACTGTTTGTGGCTCAGCTGCTCAGCCGTTGTTTCTGTGTTTTCCCCAGGTTCATTACAATCACCTCCACAAATGGCTGAACCACAAGTGGGACTTTATCGTGATGCAGGCCACTGAACAGTACAGGTACCTGAAAGCACAGCAGCCAGGAACCGAGCCTCAGGATTTCCTCCTTTCACATTTATTCTTTGAAAGTTCCCACTGAGGACAGATAAGAAAGGCGAGGAAAGAGGGAGAGCAGGGCGTCGACCGGAGTTCCTACCTGGAATAGAACCAAGGACATTCTGAGGACTACAGTTACAGAAAGTCAATCAGTTACTGAAATGAAGTGGAGAAGTGCAAACTTCTAGATTCTGAGCCTAGTTTTTAATGCCACATCAGTTTTGTGTACTATTTTTGGTAATGCATTACACAAGGTGTGGGACAACTGTGTGTACTGGAGGATTTTTTAAAATCCTCAGCCTCCTTTTCTATGTTTGTGTCTGTACGTATGTGTGTCAGGGCTGGAAGAGAGAGGAAGAAGCCAGATCGTGTGGTGTTTGACTGCCAGGAGAGAGCGTACTGGATACTGAACAGGCCCCCGGTCAGTGTGTATGTGTGTGTGTGTTTACACGTACATCTATTTACAATAATGTAATTTTTCCCCTCAGTGTATTTATCAAACACGTCCTCTGTATGTTTGCAGCGTCGTACACATAGTGCTCTGGACTGTGGTCCAGACCGTCTGATTGATCCTAACGCAAGTGAGGTAACAGGTCAGTGTATACACACACACACACACACCCAATAGATCCCATACAAAAACGACTAGTCATCCTTATCATTAACCTGAGTCTAATCTAACTTAAATTTTAATTCTAACTTCAAAAATTAACTTCAAATCTTCGGAAAACCAAAAGGACAAAAGGACATGTTCCCTCAACAACAACAACAACATAATAATAATAATAAATGACAATAACTTAAATCAACTGTCTGCTACCAATACGCCCAGTTTGTCCCCCAGAAGAACCTGAAGACAAATGGCGACATCTATTGGCGGAATTGTGTATTACAGCATTTGAAAACTACAGAACCATATCTTTTTTTTTTTTAATCTAATTGCTTTCTCCCTGTCTTGTCATTTTCTTCTCTCAACAGATCTTACATGATGATGAAAGTACTGCTCAAATTAGTATTAGTATTCTGTGTGGTGTTTACTCGTGTGTAGGTTTTTTCAATAGTGTTTTTATATGTGTATTTTTAACTAAAAATAAATAATTACACTTAGCAAACTGGAGACTCTGCTTAGTGCTGTGTTAGTTCTCTAGTATGTTATAATTGTTGTTGAATTAATGAGAATTTTTCTCTTCTTCTTTATTCAGAAAGAGAGTTTCGACCTGTACAGAAGAATGGTAATAAAAAAGAATGCAATATTATTATTATTATTTTAGCAGTAGATCACTTGTTTCTTGCTTTTCAAAGTTACATTGTGTGTTTTCCTGTTTTACCCCAGAATATTTTCTATCAACAAGCCATCATGAGGTCAAAGGTTAAATCCAGTGTGTCACTTGGAGCGTAAGTTCCATCATTCTGCCTGAAACCAAATTCATCTTTTTTTATTTGTGCTAAATATCTGTCATAAATTGTCACCTGTTTATTCTCACAACTTTATTTGACTGTTCCCTCTGCAGACTTGTCAAATACGTCACCACTTACAAAACCCACGACCCGTTCCTGGCTCCGTGTTTACCCAGCAACCCCTGGCAGACGGACAGCGACGCCTACTGGACTCTCAACATGAGAAGGTGACGTGTTTTCGTATTGGCGTGTTTATTTTGTTGGATGAAAATTTGGTCGGTGTGAGGTGAGTGGTCGGTTATTTAGCTGGATGCTGATTGGTTAAAAAGATGTGTGTGTGTCTGTGTGTGTTTGCAGTGTTGACCTGCCCACTAAGATGAGGGTGGAGCGCTGGTCCTTCAGCCTGTTTGAGCTGCTGACCGACCTTCGGGGCCGAGACGACTTCAAGATCTTCCTCAAGAAGGAGTTCAGTGGTACGTTTTTAAAAATTAAAATTAAAAACACAAACAAACAAAAGTCCAGCTTTAGGACAGATCACAGCAAACCCAACTGCTGCCAATGAATGTTTTCTGTTTCCCAGGAGAGAACCTGGCTTTCTGGGAAGCAGCGGAGGAGCTGAAATGGGGAACAGCCTCCTCCATGAAGTCCAAAGCTGAGACCATCTTCAAGTAAGAAGATGCTAAACCAACTCTGCCTTCATACAGTTTGATAACTATGATATAACTATGATATCCTGCCTCTAGTGGAGATTTAAAGAAGAATATAAATATATATATGTGTGTGTGTGTGTTTGTGTGTGTGGTCAGGACCTTCCTGGCTCCTAATGCTCCTCGCTGGATCAACATTGATGGCCGGACCATGGGTCTCACGGTGAAAGGTCTTGAACATCCTCATCGCTACGTGCTGGACGCTGCTCAGACTCACGTCTTACTGCTGATGAAAAAGGTTTTGTAATTGTTGTCTATTCTGAACAAAGAATCTCTCCGTCAATAGTTCAAAATCAGATGTATCCAAACCTCCCACTGTCTGCAGTCCCATCTTTTCATCCTTGGACTTTTCATTTCAGGACACGTTCTTCCGTTACCTCAAGTCTCCAGTTTACAAAGACATCCAGAAGAAGGCTCTGAACCCTGAGCCTCACAGCTTCAGGTTGGCAGCTTCCCTCCGCACTTCAACCAGTGGTCTCCAACCTAAAATCAAATAGAAAAAAAGAGAGAGAGAATGAGAACAAAACGTTAAAGTTCTAAAATGTTTTTGTTTCACCTTTTTCTCCTTCCAACCCAGTCCTGCACAGCTGGAACAAAACGCCCAGAATCGAAGCCCTGGCATCCATCCCATCATCCTCTGGAAGCAGGAGGAGGAAGAAAAGGCGAAGGCAGCTGCAGCCTCTGCTCCTGTTGATGTCAAGGCCATGATGAGCAAAATTGACAGGAAGTAGACGAGAAGATCAGCAGCTGCTGAGAATCGTCCTAGACATTTTATCATCAAGCTAAAAATGAGAAAAATCTAAGAGATGTAGAGGAGAAATATGAAGCATGTCTGTTATTCATTTAAAATAAAGAAACAAACAAACAAACAAAAAAACACATCTAACAGGTCAACAGCAAAAACATACACAGAGAACAATTGTCTTTTCCCCCAAAACACAAATATTTATTTTGACATAACTTTAACATAGATACATAAAAAAAAAGTTTTATTTGGCCATGCCAGAGAGCCAGCTGAGTTTAAATAACGATGGAGCACTGGCATCTTCTTCCTGATTGGCCAGCTGTCTGAAGAGGTTCCCCGGCCTGAAAGTGGCCTCACTGTCTGCTGCTGAGGGGGGAGGAGCCTGTCGGAGGGAGGAACATGAAACAGGTTCAGGTGTGAACGTCTACACACGCAGGAGGAGACACGAAGGTCTCATTAAAACAGATAAAGATAATGAGTTTGTCCACAGATATAACCATGATATCCAACAAGACAACCTGAGAAAGGAGTATTGACCATGTGAGACAGCAGAGGGCACTCTAGGCTCAGTCTGACCTCAGGCTGTATGAGTCTCACATAAACTATTTGGTCCTGTGACATCAGCAGTTTCTACCTTCTCTCCTTCCTTTCTGGTGACAGTGTTCAGGTCGTCTTCTAGAAGAAGTATTTCACCCGTAGAATGAAGACCCAGCAGGTGGCAGTGTTGCAACTCAAAATATTCAGATCTACTACTCTGCAGGCATTAGCAGGGTTAGCATGAGCTAGCCTTGGTGAAGACTGTCTCTTAAAATAAATACCCCATGTACTAGCATGTGGCTAACACACCTGGTATTAGCGGCAGACTTCTTTTTTTTTAAATGACACGATGTGGATTAGGTCACACTTTAACCCTTCACTGTTGAAATTAACATGTTTTTACAATTTTGTTTTACAGCTGGTATTAAACCTACTTTAACTACTTTTTCCCTCTACATCTAGATATATGTCTCTCTCCTAGTTCCTCAGTAATAGAATGATTTAATGCACAGTTAGACACAGCAAACACAGCAAAGGTGACACACTGCACTACAGTCGACAGCAAACACACATCAGAGTGAGAAAATGGCCTCCAGAGCATTAGGATCTGAGACTGTTGTCACAGGTGCTACAGTAAATGTTAGCATTTCTAGCAGATTTGGTTTTTTTATCTACATAAACCACATGGTGCTGTGGTTTAGTCAAAGCGCCTGTCTAGTAAACAGGAGATCCTGGGTTTGAATCCCAGCAGTGACAACCATTCATACAGATTGGTGGATGGTGTTTTGTGGCGCCTCCAAGGGGCAGCCTGTTGTAGCACATCTGGTGTTGGATCAATGAAGTTCAAATTAGTCTTGATATTATAATGGGATTTTAAAAGCAGTGAAAGAAAACCCAGTGATGTTTTTGCCCAGCTGCTCATTCCTGACCCTGATACACACAGGTTTAAAAACACACACATGAACTTGCCTGTGTCTGTGCAACTCAGAAACGCTGGAGGTTTAGAGGACGTGAGAGGTAACAATGAGGAGGAGTGGAGTGAGTCAATGAGAAAAACGGAAAAAGAATGAAGATGACATGTGCTCCTGAGTCTGCAGGGGGCACTGTACACTGTGTTTCCTAACACTCACCATCTGGAGCGGAGCATCAGAAATCCTGGAGGCCGTCTTGGACGTGCGGACATTGGACATGCTGAGAGGCAGCAGCCCGAACCTGCGGAGAACAGAGACGTGGGGTCAGGACAGAGGTCTGACAGGTCAACACAAAGTTGTATTTTCAGACTTTCGTCTGTTGACATGTTTCTCAAGTTCATGCACATGCACAAGCTCCAGGTAGAGCCTCAAAAATGTGGAACCTTCTGAGGTTCCAGAGGAGCTGCTGTTGACCTCTGACCTGATCTGGCTGCTGGCCAGTGGCAGGATGTTGTAGGGTTCCTGAGCGTTCACACTACTGCTGCGTGTTGTGAACTGCTTCTCCGATCCAGTCAGTAGACCCAGCAGTACCTGAAACACAGCATCACGTTTAAACCAATCACAATCACGGCACCGTCCGAACGCCTGGTGACGCTCGTTAAACGACGGCAACACTTTGTTCTGCACATGCACGACTTTGTCAAAGGGTGGCGACATACCGAGCTCCTCTGGGACATCCGGCTGAGGTTGTTGTTGAGCGGAGGTGTGAACACGTCCAGGTCAAAGGGGTCGATGAAACTTTCCAGCCAATCACAGACCTCGTGAAATCTGGAGGAGACAGAAATCCAGACAAACTTTCTAAACACCTGTCACGGGAAAACAAACAGTTCCAAATAACAATGACCAACGATGTGGGTGGGAAAATATCACAGACCCTGACCATGCGGTTTCATTGTTACAATGTCAGTTACCGGCGGTGACAGCGCCACCATCAGGCGTAACCTGACAAATGAAGAAAAAGACTGATACCTGGGGTCTTGGTGGGTGCGGGAGCTCTTGCCCTCGTCCAGCCGGCTGCTCAGCATGGTGTTGAGGTAACGCAGGTCAAATAAGAGCTGCAGAGCTCTGTTCTGGGTCATGGGGAACACGCACCCCTAGAGGAGCAGAGAAGGAGGTGCAGAGAAGGAGGGGCCGAGGATTTATGAAAATAACCATAATCTTTATAACTATCCTTACTTTTATTTTAACTTTTTTTTCTTTCTTCCCGGAGCCAGTAGGTGGCAGAAAGGATTTTGAATAAAGTTCAACAAAGTATTGACTGTGATGGTGTGTGTGTGTGTGTGTGTGTTACCTCTGTGTGGTCCTGCTGTGACAGGCTGTGGTAGTGTTGCAGAACCTGACTCAGACAGACCTTCAGCAGTTCCTGGAGTGTGGGCTGTGGGAGGGCGTGGCCCCCCACTTTGTTTACCTCCACACACAGCTGGAACAGAAATGACTGGACGAACCAGGACGGCTGCAGAAGACACACACACTCAGATCATATCGCCTATGCACACCGTCTGTCTGTGAGTGTGTGTGTGTGTGGTCGCCACTGCACACCGTCTGTCTGTCTGTGTGTGTGTGTGTGTGTGTGTGTGTGTGCTGCTGACCTGCACTGGAAGACGGATTTTCGACGTCACACTGCTCCCTGACTCCGCCTCCTCCTGAATCTCCAGGTCTTCCCAGTTGGTGGCTGTGGTCAGGATGTCACCAGCAGACTTGGAATGCAGAACTGATGCAAACTTGTCCAGTAACACCTGCCACAACACAACAAAGGGTTACACACAACTAACCTTTAAACCCAGCTGTGAACAAACCTCAGAGTAAACATCGCTGAACAGGAAGAGTCGACACGTTTGGATCAAGGTGACTGATTGGACTGATATAAAACATTTGATGTTATGAGAGTCGTACTTTGGACACGGTGGAGCACCAAATGCGATAGGCCTCCATGCTGCAGTTGAGAAGCTCCTCCCTCAGCTCCGCCCACTTGGCCTGTACAGGACTGACCTCTGCGGCAGCCCTGGCCTTGCCCAGCTTCTTGGACGGCCTGGGTGTCCCTTTGATGGAGGGGTCAGCGCCATTCTGTTTTCCCAGGATGCAATGTTTCAGGTTGGGACAGAGTTCACCCATGGACTGACAGAGTCTGGCCATGAAGAGGACTGAACTAAGGAGGGAGGGACTGGGCTGAGGTGAGGACGAGGACAGTTCAGCACGAACAGAAGAGAGGATGTGACGGACACAGGCCAGGGAGCCTTCGCGTAAGGCGTCCTCCACGGCCGGGGAGTCCGTGAAGCGATTAAAGGAGGAGGGAGGCGAGACGTTGGCAGGTCCAGAAGAAGAAGCTGAGACGGAGTCAGAACCTGTGTGGAAATAAAAGATTTGACACCACTGTCAGGGAGGTTACAGGATCAGGCTTTTATCAGAGAACTGCAGGTTTGAATCCCATGACCTGCAGGGCTGTAGTGTGTTGAGCAAGGCACCAAAGACTCCCTGCTGTTGTTTTAATTACTGCGTGTCACTACAAAGCACCAACCTGCATCCTGAGAGGGAAGGTAGTGCTGGAGGTCATCCAGTCTGGTCTTCAGCTTTGCATCCAATGAAGAGCAGAAGTTCTGGACACACGGTGTGAGGGCCTGGGTCTTCATGGCCAGACCACTCCTCTGATGCTGCTGCCCACGCTGGCTCACACTCACCCACCCTGCATCACTGGGAAGGTCTCCTGGAGACTCGGACCACAGGAAGGAGGCCACGTCTATCTCATACTGGCTCCTACGTCCAGAGCTGAGGTTGGCACCTGCGGGCTGATCCTCAAGATCCTTCACCGCGGAGATGAGAAGCTGGACAGAACTGGATGAAATGGCTTCAGTTTCTTCTTTAGTGATGGTCTATATAAAAAAATAAGAATATAAGAATAAGAATACATTTACATTTATGTTAACAGGAATAAGACCTGGAGAAGCACGAACATTAACAGGAATAAGACCTGGAGAAGCACAAACCTGCAGGCGCTGGAGGAAAAGCTGCTGAAGGAAGTCATCCCAGACAGGCAGGGGGCGGTCCAGCAGCCTCTGACACACACTGTTCCAATGCTGACTGATGGAGTCCGTGGACAGGAGGTCCCACACTGCATCTCTGATGGACGCCAGCCCTTTCAGGCTTTTCACGTAGACCAGGAGACTTCCAACGCCATGGCAGATGTCCTCCTTACATCTGAGAACAGAGGAGGGGTTTGTCAACAAAACAGCAACAACTAAAGCAAACAAATCCAGGAGAATATCCTTACTTTTACTTTAACTTATTTTTGAAACAATTACATCTATCTTCCCACTTTGCCTTTGTTTTTCCAGGAGAATTCTTACGTGTCTATCCACTGCTGCAGGGTGTCCCGCAGCTGCTCTCTCTGGATTGGCTGAGCCAGGGTGCGCAGCGCAGGCTGGAACTCTGTGATGGAGGGAGGAAGGTGCCTGAACCAGCTTCCTGTGCTCGCCTCCTCCTGCAGCACCTTCTGTACTTTAGCTGAAGGAAGAAACGGCATGGACACAGGACACTGAGGAGTCTACTTAACCATGTTGTATGCAACCTTAGAACAATCTGTATGACATTCACAAGTGTTTCACAAAAGAAAAATTACAAAAAAAATTAATGACTAAATTAATTTACAGAGCAACACAATCAGTTCACTACAGGATGTTATTTCGTATATGGCGAGGTGATGCTTTGTTTTTTCTTTTGTGAGGTTTCTACATTAGATATGCTACAAAATACTACCATAAAACTCTCATATCATTAATAAAGGGCAATATTCAATGGATTTTTTTAAATAGTGTAACAAAAAAAAATCAGACGAATTTAAGACATCAAAAATCTAGAATGTTCTGTGTATTTACCTGCTGGACTGCTGGAGGTAACATTGTCCAGGACAGAGAAGAGCATGCCGCAGCTCAGAGCTGCATCTCCAGGTCTGGCGCCTCCTTCTGGAGGCAGGTAGAAGACAGCGTAGGCCTGGAACAGAGTGGTGACCAGCAGTTCCACCAGGCTGCACACCTGAGCCTTGATCCCTGCACCTTCATGAAAACAACGGCATGATGTTACTGACTTTGTTGCTTCTCTTTACTTGTAACTTTATTTTACTTTATTTTATTGACCCTCACACAAACACACATTTCTGAGCACACCCGTGTGAATAATTACCATGCTGAGGCTGGTTGAGCAGCTGGTGAATGGAAGCTTTTCGGGCGAGCAGGAAATCAGCCAGGGCCTGACGTGGGGAACTGCCCTCAAGCAGCATGGTGGATACAAGGGCTTCAGCAATAGCCTGGTCAGACACCGCCCGGCCTCGCAGAAGAGACTTGCTGTCGAGCAGAATGGTGGACCTGCAGAGAGACAGTTGGTTCACTGACCTTTGAGGCCTCTAACGTTCTCATGTGACGGCATGAAACAGCATCCTGTACCTGAAGTGCCCAGTGGTGGCTACTTGGCGGACCACGATAGGGAACCGGGCCAGGACAGGACTGTAGTGACCTCCTGCGGCGTTCTCCAGGTGCAGCAGTTTGTGCAGGTGGCAGCACAGCAGGTAGAGCTGAGTGGCCTGGAGGTACTGGGATGCCTCCATGGCACTCCAGATGCGTTCTGGGATCTCCAGAAGGAGCTTTATCTGGGACGCCATTGTGTAGAACTTGTCCTGCCACTGTTTCTGGCTCTACGGCAAATGGTACAGACATACATCTATGTATATATTTGCACATGTTGACAGATGCATTGAATCTGAGGTTTGAGCCGCACCAGCTCGGACTGAGACCGCAATGGACAGATGTCAGTAAAGCATCATCATAACATAAATAAGTCGTTATATTCAAATTGTTGTTACATTTAACTGCCAATTGTCTAAATGACGTTTGTTGATTATATGTTGAACTGCTGGTGCAGGTGTAACGCAGCTTTACCTCCTGTCTGGAGCTGCCCACAGCGGATCTGCCCTGTTTCAGAACCTGACAGTACTGATGCATGTCCTGGATGGAGTGGACCACACTCTCCGAACACTGTCTCATCTCTCCGATGGTGTCGGCGGCGTCGATCAGGTCCCGGTAGCGCTCCCCGACCATTTGTCTGAGCTCTTCCTTCTTATGCTCGATCTCGCCGCGGACTCTCCGCTCGATGCGCCGGATCTCCTCGGTGTTGTACCGCTCGAACAGGCTGGTTGGGTGTTTTATCTCCGACAGCCGGAGCGACTGTACCGGGTCCGTAGCCATTACCTGGGAAATAACAACAACTACAGCTGCTACAAAAACTTCACCAACCCGGAAGACCGAGCGGAAACGAACGTTTGACTTCCACGTCGTTACTAGTGTGACGTCATCATTCAGTGATGTGTTTATTGGTTAGCAAAACTGTTTGTCAAACAGCATTTCCGTGAACTAAGTCCCGCCCTCTTGTGATTATGTTATTTTACATTACATTTAGCAGACGCTTTTATCCAAAGCGACTAACAATTTAAATAAACTCCAAAAAAAATCTGAGAGAACAAAACATTTCTCCAAAAAAAAATCTGAGAGAACAAAACATTTTTATTAAATAAATCATAATTAATTATATAATATAATATAAATTATATATTTATTTCTCAGTTTGATTTTTCTTTAGTGAACTTTCAAAGAAACGGTCTTTCTGCCTGGATGAACCAGGATCAGACTGGTCCCGTTTTGACCACGTCAACAGTTGTTGTCAACGAAGCTGACAAGTTTTACAATTAATATTAATAACTAGGGCCGTTTATTGATGACCCTGAGAAAATACATGTAATATATGGCTGTACTTTGATTATTCGCGGATACAGTTATATACTGCTGACAGCTACTGTTTGATCAGACTCCAGCTCATTTCTCATCCCCCAGCTGTGGAGAGAAGAGAAATGAGCAGAGATGAGAGCAGTTAATGTCACATTCAACACAAGTAGAGCAGCAGCGCCCTCTACAGTTGGAGTAAGGGAAGACAATGCAACACATTCACCTGTCAATTAAAATATGAACACACGGAGTTCATAGACAATAAGGTCTGTAAAATTGAAACAGTATGGGAATCTGATCACACGCCACCAAGTGGAGAGACTATGAGGTTTACAAATAATTATAAAACACATTAAGTTTTAACAATTTGACTCCAGTGTTCTACACTGACATCAGATCATCCACAAGGCCACGCAGATCCTCCACTGCTGAATCCTCCAGGTTGTTTCCCCTCAGGTCCAGTTTCCTCAGATGGGAGGGGTTGGACGTCAGAGCTGAGACCAGAGAAGAACAGCTGATCTCTGACAAACTGCAGCTGCTCAATCTGAATAAAGAAGAAAAGACAAAGAGAAAAGTTGATTTTCTTCAGCATCTGGATTTTTTTAGTTGTTTAAGGTTTTTTTTAAAAAAATATTATCAGATCAACCTTTACTTCTTCAAACTAGATTCTAGACTGGTTCATATTAGATTAAACTAATTCCAACAGCATTTAAAACAGCTTTAGATCTTTTTTTTCATTACCTAAGAGAGATTACATTTTAATAAAAGCATTTGTATTGAACAGATGAATTATTCAACAGAATGAATCAGGTGTGTAGTATTTTTATTATTAAAGTTTGACCATCTAATCATCCCCTCGTTGTAATCCACAATGTTATAAAAAACTCTACAGGAACTTTGCTGTTCAGTTAAACTGTTTACTTAAAAAATGAAACAAAAATGAAACATAAAAACAGACGGTTATCAAAAATACAAAAGTAAAAAAATAGGTGAAAAAAGTGTGAAAGAGTGAGAAATAGCAAGAGAGAAAGATCAAAAACCATTGTGACTCCACTCCATGTCTGACTGTCTGTTCAGGTGATAACATCCACATTGGTATTTTAAAACTAAAAGGCAATTAAACATGTATAATTATTCTAAAGCCACAACATCTCCAAAATATTATAAAGGCAAAAAAATGAAATCTGTTAAAAACTGCATTTACAAGATGATTTAAACCATGAAAATCTCTCATTCTGTGTTGGAGCTGAACTTGATAAAAACAAACACTGGTGTCATTTCATCCACTTTTACTTTGGTCTGGGTTTGAGACACTGGGAGATTCTGATCACTGTACGTTTAGAACTCACCTCAGATCATCCAGTTTACAGTCTGGACTCTGTAGAAAACCACACAGATCCTCCACTGATGAATCCTTCAGGTTGTTGTAGCTCAGGTACAGTTTCCTCAGATGGGAGGGGTTGGACTTCAGAGCTGAGACCAGAGAAGAACAGCTGATCTCTGACAACCTGCAGTCATTCAACCTGAATAAAGTAAAAAAGACAAAGAGAAAAGTTGATTTTCATGAACTGAGTTTATGTATAATTGATTTTTATTGTAGATTATTTATATTATATTGGCTATGATTGAATCAAATAAGATTTAATTGACCTGATTATAATAAACTATTTTTATAAGAAGAGAACAGATTTTTACATTTTATCAGAAACATACTTTATTCTCCAGGTGTATCAGTGATGTGAAGTCTGATCAAATAAAACAGTTTTTTACTCCTCTGAATCTAAAAACACTTTGACACATTGTAGAGAAGACAGAGTGAAAACAACCAGAGTTCTGAACTAGAATCCATTCATTTATAATCAGTGGTTCATCTGACTGTGAAGATGAATCAGCTTCACCCTAACATTGACAACAGTAACAGTCAGTGAACTCACCACAGATCCTCCAGTTTACAGTCTGGACTCTGGAGAAAACCACACAGATCCTTCACTGCTGAATCCTTCAGGTTGTTTCCACTCAGGTCCAGGTCCCTCAGACGGGAGGGGTTGGACTTCAGAGCTGAGACCAGAGAAGAACAGCTGATCTCTGACAACCTGCAGCTGCTCAACCTGAATAAAGAAGAAAAGACAAAGAGAAAAGTTGAAATTATTATTATTAAATTAGATGAATGAGTCCAGCAGGAGTATTTAAATTAACTTTTTTCATGAAGAGAGCTGAAGATTAGATTACATTTTTAGATATGATACATTTTTATTGAACTTTTTTCATCAGATTAATATAAAATGTTTCAGTTTGTCTGAATGACTGAGATGGTTAAACCATGAAAATCTCTCATTCTGTGTTGGAGCTGAACTTGATAAAAACAAACACTGGTGTCATTTCATCCACTTTTACTTTGGTCTGGGTTTGAGACACTGGGAGATTCTGATCACTGAACTTTTAGAACTCACCACAGAGTCTCCAGTTTACAGTCTGGACTCTGTAGAAAACCACACAGATCCTCCACTGCTGAATCCTTCAGGTTGTTGAAGCTCAGGTCCAGTTTCCTCAGATGGGAGGGGTTGGACTTCAGAGCTGAGACCAGAGAAGAACAGCTGATCTCTGTCAACCTGCAGCTGCTCAACCTGAATAAAGTAGAAAAGACAAAGAGAAAAGTTGATTTTCTTCATAAACTGTATTCATATTAACTTAATTGTTATTATAGATATTTATATTATATTGGCTATGATTGAATCAAACGCGATTTCAGTGATTTGATTATAATAAACTAATTTTATAAGAAGAGAACAGATCATTTTACATTTTATCAGAAACATACTTTATTCTCCAGGTGTATCAGTGATGTGAAGTCTGATCAAATAAAACAGTTTTTTACTTGTGTGAATCTAAAAACACTTTGACACATTGTAGAGAAGACAGGGTGAAAACAACCAGAGTTCTGAACTAGAATCCATTCATTTATAATCAGTGGTTCATCTGACTGTGAAGATGAATCAGCTTCACTTTAACATTGACAACAGTAACAGTCAGTGAACTCACCACAGAGTCTCCAGTTTACAGTCTGGACTCTGGAGAAAACCACACAGATCCTTCACTGCTGAATCCTTCAGGTTGTTCCAGCTCAGGTCCAGTTTCCTCAGATGGGAGGGGTTGGACTTCAGAACTGAGACCAGAGAAGAACAGCTGATCTTTGACAAACTGCAGCTGCTCAACCTGAATAAAGTAGAAAAGAAAAGTTGATTTTCTTCAGCATCTGGATTTTTTTTGTTATTTAATGTTTGTTAAGAAAATATATTATTAGATCAACCTCCACTTCTTCAAACTAGATTCTAGATTGTTTTATATTAGATTAAATCAATTCCAACAGCATTTAAAACAGCTTGAGATGTTTTTCACATCTTTCACTAAGAGAGATTACATTTTAATAAAATGATTTCATTCAACAGTTGTTTAATTAAGATTATTGTTACCTCAGAAAGTTTAATTTGGAGCAGTAGAATATTATTACGTTAAAATAAAACAGCACTTTCTGTCAGTGAACTCACCTCAGACTCTCCAGTCCACAGTGTGGACTTTTCAGTCCAGAACACAGATGATCCACTGCTGCATCCTGGAGCTGGATGTTCCTCAGGTCCAGTTCTATCAGATGTGAGGGACTGGACTTTAGAGCTGAGGCCACGACTTCAGCACCAGTCTCTGAGAGGTCATAACCTACAAGTCTGTCAGGACAGAAAATATAAAACAATAAATTAATGAACACATACGAACAGATGAGAAGACGAGTGGCCATGTGATGAACATCTGCTCTGGTTCAGTTCAACACCTATGATTCTGGGTGAATCAGTGTGTGGAACAGACCAGGGTCACACCCTGAATCTGTATTGTCTGAATCCATACTGTAGCTACCTGCTGAAATTCACTGCACTTCTCCTTTAGTCATCCAACACTATTAAACTGAATGAACACTGACTGACTAATCAATAGTGATTGATCACCAACTCACCGAGCCGTCCTGCAGTTCCTCACAGCTGGGATCAGTCTCAGTTTTCCCTCCTTCGATGTATTATACTTCTCCAGATCCAACTCATCCAGAACCTCCTCTGACATCTGCAGGATGTAGGCCAGAGCTGAGCACTGGATCTCAGAGAGTTCCTTCTCTCTGTTCTTTGACTTCAGGAACTCTTGGATCTGCTGATGAACTGACTGATCCTTCAACTCTGTCAGACAGTGGAAGATGTTGATGCTTCTCTCTGGAGAGATGTTGATCGTGTTCATGCTTTTTAGGTTTTCAATGACCTTTGGTATGGTTTCTGGACTGTAGTGTGTCTGACCCAGCAGGTCTCCCAAGATTCTCTGGTTGGACTCCAGACACAGACCATGAAGGAAGCGAACAAACAGGTCCAGGTGACCATTTTTACTTTGGAGGGATTTCTCCATTGACTTTCTGAGGAAGTCAGTCATAGTGAAGTCATATTTTACCTTAAACGTATTAACAATAGTTTCCAATTTGGATTTGCTGGGTTTGTATTCTTTTCCCAGGAAGTCCTGCAGTACCTGTGTCCTCCTGTTGGTGTAGCAGTGGAACATGTAGACTGCAGCCAGAAACTCCTGAACACTCAGATGAACAAAGCAGTAGACAGTTTTCTTGAAGATCACACTCTCTCTTCTGAAGATCTCAGTACAAACTCCTGAGTAGACCATGGCCTGGGTCACGTCCAGACCACATTGGTCCAGATCTTCTTGGTAGAACATGATGTTTCCTTTCTGCAGATGTTCAAACGCCAGCCTCCCCAGCTTCAGAAGAACATCTCCGTCCAACAGACCAGTCTCAGGTCCTCCACTGTACTTCTTCTTCTTCCTCTTTGTCTGAACCAACAGGAAGTGAGAGTACAGGTCTGTCAGGGTTCTGGGCAGTTCTCCTGTCTGCTCTGAGGTCAACATGTGCTCCAGAACTGTGGCACTGATCCAGCAGAAGACTGGGATTTGACACATGATGTGGAGACTCCTGGTCGTCCTGACATGTGAGATGATTCTGTTGGACAGCTCTTCATCTCTGGACCTCTTCCTGAAGTACTGGTCCTTCTGGTCGTCAGTGAAGCCTCGTACTTCTGTCACCCTGTGGACGCACAGAGGAGGGATCTGATTGGCTGCTGCAGGTCTGGAGGTGATCCAGA